TTTGTTTTTTTCCCTTAGCAACCAATTTCATAGTCACGTTTAGCCTTTCTATTCCCCTTTTTTTACTTCTTTTAAAGCGAACATTTTGATCAAAAGGGTTTAAACCCTCCTCTTCCTGATGCCCTAAAATTTTCCCCCTTTTCCCCCCCTAATAGATGCTTTAGCCTCCTTTTTAACCCATTGGGGGAAGTTTTTTATTAGACCTAATTTCTCTCGGGGGAATGTATTATTCGGGGCACTGGTACATTTAAAAACATCTAAAACGATCCCTTCATATTCATAAGTATGATTATCACAAAAAATCATTAGCTAATAACCCAAAAAAGATTAAAAGGGTTTCCCTAAGTCCATTATAACGCAAACAAAAATCAGGGTTTTACTGATTACTTTATTCTTTCATTCCCAATTAATGCAAAAGTGAGATTTGTGATCATTGCCCCCAAGCCTTCAGTGACCCAATTTTTTCACAGTTTTTCCATTTGAAAAACTAGGTCTAGCAAATTATTACCCCTGTGGGCCAGTTACGCTTTTTTTTCAAAAAACGCCCTGAACTGTTTTCCAAAAATCACTGACCTACTTTACCTGTCAAAAAATTTCCGTCAATTTGACTAAAGTTAAAGTCCCCACTAAGACATGTTACGTGTCCAGATGCCCTAAAAATTTCTCCCAAAAAGTTTTCCCTCTATCGTGATCCAAGCCTGGAGGTCGTAAATTACACCTAAATTAGTTTTTTTTGACCCCCACAACTCTACCCAAACGACTCTTTTACGCCCCTTTTTTTTTTAACCTTTTTTTAGCCAATTAATTTTTCTCGAACATACAATGCAACTCCTCCCCCTTCCCCCATTCACTATCCACATTTAACAACTTAATCCCTGATATTTAATCAGCATCAAATCCCCACTCTTTAAATAACCACGTTTTAGTTAATGCAAGAATCAAAATTCCCAGCAATGCACCCAAACGTATCATTAATTTTTTTTTCTTGCACTTTTGACTGTTCATAAAAACCTCATATGTTTTTTTTTTCTCACATTTTTCCTTTCATCTTGTTTTTTCACATTTCTGAAAAAACATTTCCCAGATTTTTTTTTGACGGTTTTACTATTAAATTCTCAAATAAGCAAAGTCAATATATCCATACTCATTATTTATCATTCTAAACCCATACCTCTAACTAATCCTAGTTTAAAGTCCTAACAACCCCCTCAACTGAGTTAGCAAGAAAACCCACACCTGCCCTGGATAAGTGAACCCCATCCCTGGCATACATGTCATTTCGGCCATAGAAGTTGTCTCAGTTGTCAATGAATGGTACTGCATTATCCTTACAGTGTTTATCCAGCCAACAATTAATACCAATTGCTCTGGACAACCATTCATTACCAACACCTCTTCTTGGCAAATTGCCACATAAAACAGGGCGCCCCCCTTCTTCCTAATTATGTCTATAGCTGTCCTGAACTTTCTAACTGAATCCTCACTTCTACGCTTGCCTACATCATTGCCTCCAGCACTGAGGCAAATAATAGGATTGATCCCATTACCGTTCATGATGTTGTCAAGCCGGCTAACAATGTCCTCCATCCCAGCCCCAGGAAAGCTTACCCTTTGTCTCCTACTCCTGTCCTTCAAGCAGAATGCCCTATCCATGTATCTAACCTGGCTATCCCCAACAACAACAATATTCTTACCTTCCTTGTTGTCGTTCGTCGTGACGATCCCAGTAGTCGACTCACATTCGTTCGAGTAGCAACGAGAATGCGTTGAGGTTTCCACAGGAGTTTCCACAGCAGTCTCTTTCTTCTCATCGTTTCTGGCTTTCCATTCGTCTTCTTGATCGTCAACTTCGTCGTCCCCTGCTGTCCAGCCACTGACCACGATCCCTTCTTGACCTGAGGACTCGAAACAGGAGGACTACTACGAATCCTCTTGTTTTCCTCGGTCAATCGCCGTATCTCCATCTTCGCTGCCCTCAATTCTTCCTTAAGTTGCAGGTAAAGTTGCTCGATGGAGGGCATCTTGGTTCAGTCCACGGGACAAACAAGACACTTCTTCACAGAGTTAAGTACAGGTCACCACTGGGTTAAGTACAGATTCACAGAGAGCACACAAACAGGTCTTCACAGAGCTTAGTACACGTCACCACTGCTAAGTACACGTCACCACTCCAAGTACACGTCACCACTGTCTTCTGTCTTACTCTCTCAGTATGTGCTTGAACTTCTTGGTTTTGGCCTTTCCTTTGCCACTTCGCCTACCCCTCGCGCTGGTATTGCCCTGAATAGCTCTTTTGATTCCTTTCGTCAATCTCGCTCCCGTAATCTTCCTGACTTGTCCACTTTTCGTTGCGCTCTCCTTCCTGCTCTTGTTAGTCTGTTTTTCTAAGAATCACCACCTTCCACGCCGTTACCAACTTGCCCTGTCTGCTCTTAAATCCAACACTAACATTGCCATACTATCTTCTGACAAAGGTAATTCGGTAGTTATCCTTGATCGCGATGATTACCTCCGTAAAGCTGATGTCTTGCTCTCTGACTCACGTACCTACACTCCTCTCGTTTCCATCCCTCTTGATCGCATCAAGAGAACTTTCAACAAGCAACTAAGGACTCTCTCCGACCTCTGTCCTCTTGACTTAGACCTTGTTCAACGGTTTCGTGTCATCTGTCCCTCTCTTCCCTATTTCTATGGCCTTCCCAAAACTCATAAACCTGATATTCCTCTTCGTCCTATCATATCCTCTAGAGGTTCTGTCTCTTATTCTCTTGCTTCTTGGTTGGCCAAAACCCTCACTCCCTTTCTTGGTACTTTTTCTCCTGCCCACCTCCGTCACTCTCAAGACTTCATTGAATGGGTTCGCTCTCTCCCAGCCTGTAAGATGCTTAGTCTTGACGTTGAATCCCTCTTCACCAATGTCCCTCTTGAGAGTAAGACACATGTGCAACATCTGGGTATCTTTATTGTAGACGTTTCGCCATCCAGTGGCTTTATCAATACAAATTCCAGGACATAACTTGAAGACAGTAGAACTATGTACAGAAGATGAGGTAATCAGTCCCTCAACCTAGGAGTAGGTGCGAACAGCACCATAGTCGTGGAGATTCTGAAGCAGAAGAAAGAATCCTGGCGCTTATATAGTAACGTCAGGTGAAGCAGACGAGGGCAAATTCACTGGTAGGCGGGATTCCCCAGTGGAAGTAGGTCCTTCCCAAAGATATGGGTTAGTTGTAGTAGTAGTTGTCGTAGTCGGTATTATATACCATTCGTACACAACTTGTCAGACACTGCAACATCATGGAATCTTAATTCTGAGGACATGTACATAACCTTCACGACTACGACAACTACTACTACAACTAACCCATATCTTTGGGAAGGACCTACTTCCA